TCTACCTTTTCCTGTGCTGTTTGTTCTGCAGATCCCCCTTGGATTCAGTCTTGAGAGTGCGTCCATTACGTCTCCATACGCGTGTTCGCTTACACGGTATGAACTGTGTGACCTGACATCCCGATCTTGGCAAGTACACCAAGCTCCTGACCCATAGGTGGTAAAGCAAGTCACGATTTGCTTCGTTCATCCAGAAGGAAAGATATATTTACCTTTTATGTTGTGGGGGCACAAGACATTTAAAATGCGCTGATCAATGAATATATACAAAAAGAAAATATATTTTCTGTTATTGCTCGGACAGTAACAATGTTCATAAACACAATTCAGAATAAAACGTGCACAGAACACATACAATTTCAGTTTCATTTCTTTGAAACCTGGCTGTACTGTACAGGTTTGTCATGGTCTGTCAATATGTACAGCAATACACTATAATTAAAGCCGTGCTTAGATCACCATGTTATGTGTGCGCTGCATAGTAAATGGAAATGAGTAAGCTGTGCTTAATAGAAGGGGTCATGGATTAAATATTGGCTGTGCTCAGCAAATTCAACAGCATCTTAGCATGTTATGTAATTGAACTATTGGGCAATGTGTCGGCTAGTAACGCAGTGCTAATGCAGTGAAATCCGGGCTCAGGGTAATGGGAGTTGTATGCCATACGGCTGTTGTACGTTTCTGTAAATTGAATATGATGGTTTTGAACGCCGAATAGTACGTAGCAGTGAGAACATTGTGCTTCGCATAAAAATAAATCCAATTATTCATCTTACGTAAAACAGACTTATAAGAAGCTTACGTATATGTGTGCTTCATGAAACTGTCCATACGGCAAGTAACTGTGTCAGGTCTAAAGTTCAGCAGCTTAGTGGGAAACTTGACAATCAGTATTTTACACGAATATTGCTACAATGGGAAAAGTATCATTCAGAAAAATCAGGATTATCTACTAAGTGAGAAATGGTTGGGGTTTCAAGTGAATTTCAAATTTAAAGCTGGTCATTCTAACTTTAGTTAATATACCTGCTAGTTTTGTTTGGAACATTGCGGTACTGCTCCCAGGTATAGGGCAGTACACGATCTCATTGATACCTGTATCAGACAGGTTTAGCTTTGCAGGAAACTATCTGAGGGGGATGAACATGAGCCGCTCTCTGTCTTATCTCTGAATTTGTTATTTTTCTGTAGACAAATGGATCCAAGAGAGAACACCGAAAAGGAGCAGTCTAGGACGACACACCACTTATACATCAGCTTCCTCTATCCAACAACCCTCTATCCAATTACATAAAGATAAGAGTTTTATTTAAACTAAACTGAGAAAGGAGCATATATAGCATTGTCTTGAAAACCATCCACAATGAAGGAACCATTACAGTTACTTCTATTTTAATACATCTAGCGTGGGGTCCATTGCAGCTCGCTTGAAATAGTCAATTTGGGGTCATGTAAGCTCTCATAGACATGAGGTATCGGGGGCAATCCATCAAAAAGTATCACACTCCTATAGATCCTATAGCTGGCACAGGTTACTGGGGAACCATCGATCCAGAACAACAAAGAAGGGAGAAGTGCACTAAATGCTGTAATCCACAGAAGTACACGGGTGTAAAAGTAAATGTGGTTTCTTAAAATCCAGCAGAGTACAGGGTGAATGGGGAAGAGAAGTACATACAGCTTGACGTGTTTCATACTAAGTGTATTAATTATACCCAGCACACATGATTAACTACCAGCAGTATTACTGAAATGTAAGTGCTGCAGGCTAAGCCTGAGCTGAATATCACTAACATGAATAAAATCCCATCCTTAATATTATATGGGTGGGCTGCAAAAATAGTGGTAACTTTACCTCTTTGTGATGCTTTTATTATTGCATTCAAAAGAAATTCTTAAAGGGTTACTCTACGCACCATAACCACTTCAGTGATTTGAAGTGGTCATGGTGCCTAAAGTCTGTATGTGCAGTAATTTCCCTTTGACACACTCCACATACGAGAGTTTAAGCCCTCTGCTGCCAAAGCTATATCTCTTAACTCAATAATCCTAAACAACCCCTGTACCCCAATACTAAATTTAATCCAAGTCTAACTCTTAACTCAATAAACCTAAACAACTCCTGTACCCCAATACTAAATGTAATCCAAGTCTAACTCTTAACTCAATAAACCTAAACAACCCCTGTACCCAATACTAAATTTAATCCAAGTCTAACTCTTAACTCAATAATCCTAAACAACCCCTGTACCCCAATACTAAATGTAATCCAGGTCTAACTCTTAACTCAATAATCCTAAACAACCCCTGTACCCCAATACTAAATGTAATCCTAGTCTAACTCTTAACTCAATAATCCTAAACAACCCCTGTACCCAATACTAAATGTAATCCAAGTCTTACTCTTAACTCAATAATCCTAAACAACCCCTGTACCCCAATACTAAATGTAATCCAAGTCTAACTCAACTCAATAATCCTAAACAACCCCTGTACCCCAATACTAAATGTAATCCAAGTCTAACTCTTAACTCAATAATCCTAAACAACCCCTGTACCCCAATACTAAATGTAATCCAAGTCTAACTCTTAACTCAATAATCCTAAACAACCCCTGTACCCCAATACTAAATGTAATCCAAGTCTAACTCTTAACTCAATAATCCTAAACAACCCCTGTACCCCAATACTAAATGTAATCCAAGTCTAACTCTTAACTCAATAAACCTAAACAACTCCTGTACCCCAATACTAAATGTAATCCAAGTCTAACTCTTAACTCAATAATCCTAAACAACCCCTGTACCCCAATACTAAATGTAATCCAAGTCTAACTCTTAACTCAATAATCCTAAACAACCCCTGTACCCCAATACTAAATGTAATCCAAGTCTAACTCTTAACTCAATAATCCTAAACAACCCCTGTACCCCAATACTAAATGTAATCCAAGTCTAACTGTTAACTCAATAATCCTAAACAACCCCTGTACCCCAATACTAAATGTAATCCAAGTCTAACGTTAAAGTGCCATTATCTGATATGGATATTTGTTTTTTAGGATGTTTAATGCCTGTAAAGTTCCCCTTAACTGCATTGTCTTTTGTGGGGGGAGCAGAGGGCGTCTTAAAATGTTGTGCCTACTAACACCTTGCGTAAATCCAGTCCTGACTTCAAGAAATAATCTTCAGGCAAATCATCTCTGGAAGATAATGTTACCACAATTTGTACACCAGAATGCTACACTGAATATCACTTTTTCATGTTTTTAACACCATCTTTATACAGGGTCTCATACCAAGGATACAGCAAAATACAGATTTTTATTCCAATGCTCGGATTATTACATGGATCAAGGTGACAACGTCATGTGATAAAATGTTAATCTAAAGAATTCTAGGTGGTTTTTGTGGGAGACAACATGTAAGTAATTTAAAATAGAATCAGAGTATTTTAGGTATTTTTGTGGGAGGTACCGAGTGCTACAATTTTTATATTTCCTTTGGGCTTGATAGCTCACACACCACTTGTAAATTGCATTGAAGCTGCTAAAATCAAACCGTGCTACACTGAAAGAGATTCGTTTGCAGTTTGAAAAAGAAAAATGTAACTCCTAAAAATAAAATGATTTAGTAAGATTAGAAAAAAAGGAGATTTTGTATCAGTTGGGTGTGTAGAAAAGTTTTTAATTTAGCAAAACCTAAAGGACAAAAGCTTAATTTAAATTAACAAAATGGAAGGAAACTTCTGCCTGCGTTCTTTATTTAACGTGCTATTTAAATTTAGCAAAACTGCAGTTTTATACATTAGTGGATTTAATGGCATTTTCTAGAGATATGCAGGGAACACAAAGCATTTGTTCACACTAAAAGCTTTAACCCCTCACAATTGAGTGGTTTTTGGTAAAGAAATACAGGTGTAATCATTTTATATTTTATGAAAAATATTACGTTAAAAAAATGTTCAAATACTGTACCCTTTTATTATCATTCAGTATTTTAAGGACTCTCGTGTCAGTTTTGGGAATGCTAGAACAAAGGCATGAGTTACAGGTAGCAGTTATAACCATAGAATTGAGTATTAAGGTCAGAGAGCTGGGGGGCTCGGCATCTATATGTAAAACTAGATGTTGGAACTGTCAAACAGGACTGGGAAACAGAATTCCACAGAGAAATGGGCACACCATGTTAGCCAGGGGGATTCGGAATTGTTTAACAATTTCTGTACTTTGATGAAAGGAAGGAGCGACCTCCACGCAGGTTTGTTTATTTATTTACGTGATTATTGTCAGGAATTTTAAATGAATTCCAAATTTAAGGCCAACATTGTTGTACTGGAAAAAATATCCAATTTAACTATGCTGCCAGTTCAGCTTCCAGTTGAACAATTCTCACTTCAATAAATAATCCTGGCTATATATCCTGACCCTTAACCCCTCACAGAGATGTAAGGTGTTATTTTGTGCCTTCTCTGATAACACAAAGTCCTGAATAACCTGCAGTCCCTCTAATTCTGCAAAGAGCACCAGGCATCTGTTTAAATCCTCATTAAAATGTATTCTCTAAAAGATTCACCTATTACATTGTATGGGTGGCGTTGCAAAATATATTATAATAACCTCCCATTTAGCTTCACTTAGCATCACAGCCTGCGAAACTGATTTATCAGAAACACAATCCCCAAAGTCAGAATGTTTACCTTATGCTAGAGATTTTCAGGATCTGCATTCCTAGATGGCCAGAAGTCCTACAAACATTTTATTTGACCATTTGCATTTCTATTTTGTACCGCAAGTGCAGTTTGGTGTAAAACTTGTATTTGGGTTTCATTGCTAATTTTTTTTGACATTTCAACATTCAAAAAGTATTGGAAGACCTGTTATTAGTGATGTCCTGAACGGTTCGCCAAATGGTTCGCCACGGATGGCGAACATATGCGCTGTTCGATCCGCCCCCTATTCGTCATCATTGAGTAAACTTTGACCCTGTACCTCACAGTCAGCAGACACATTCCAGCCAATCAGCAGCAGACCCTCCCTCCCAGACCCTCCCTCCTCCTGGACAGCATCCATTTTACATTCATTGTGAAGCTGCATTCTTAGTGAACTGTCCAGGAGGTGGGAGGGTCTGGGAGGGAGGGTCTGCTGCTGATTGGCTGGAATGTGTCTGCTGACTGTGAGATACAGGGTCAAAGTTTACTCAATGATGACATAGGGGGCGGACCGAACAGCGCATATGTTAGCCGTCCGTGGCGAATCGTTCGGCGAACCGTTCGGGACATCACTACCTGTCATATTTCATAATTTGTCATTTCTGCAATAAAAAAAAACATAACCTCTACATAGAACTTCAAAATTCAGAGAATGTTTTTCTATCAAAATCAGCATCATAAGATTTGATCATCTATACCTGACTCATTTGGACAATAAAGTAATCCAATTGCTCAGGGCTGTCACTGTGTAAAATTGTATATATATTAAAGGAACACTATAGTCACCTAAAGAACTTTAACGTAATGAAGCAGTTTTAGTGTATAGATCACGCTTCTCAGTTTTCACTGCTCAATTCACTTCCATTTAGGATTTAAATAACTTTGTTTCTATTTATGCAGCCCTTGTCGTACCTCCCCTGGCTCTGATTGACACAGCCTGCATGAAAAAAAAACTGGTTTCACTTTCAATCAGATGTAATTTACCTTAAACAATTGTATCTCTTTCTCTGTAAATTGAACTTTAATCACATACAGGAGACTCTTGCAGGGTATAGCAAGCTATTAACATAGCAAGGGGTACGAAAATCTAAATTAAACAGAACTTGCAATAAATGATGGATAAACTGTAGATGACTCTTTACAGGAAGTGCTTAGGAAGGCTGTGCAAGTCACGGGCAGGGAGGTGTGACTTGGGTTCATGAACAAAGTGATTTAATTCCTAAATGGCAGAGAATTAAGCAGTGAGACTGCAGGGACATGATCTATACACCAAAACTGCTTCATTAAGCTAAAGTTGTTTTGATGACTATAGCTTTAACAGAATCCCCCGCTAATTTGAAACGAATAATTCAGAGATCTGTATATGTAATATTTACCTTTTATCTATTTATTTAAATGTATTATTAGACACACATAGCAGACATGTTTCTGTGTTTATTCGACTGATTAACTTGTCAACAGCAATTACACAGCCGCTAACCGAAATGATTGTTAGCATTTTAGCACTAGGAATGTTATATCCTTCCTATTCTGCATTCATCTTTCATATCTAATCTGTCATGTTTCTGAATTTTGTCCTTTCCACCGCTTTCAATTTTAGCAACATTTACTACTAGCAGCGTGTTTCTATGGCAACTACAAACTTTTCGAACCTGCTGCTGCAGAGAGTTCATCTAAGGATAGAGACATGCAAATCAGATTTGGGAACATATTTGCATAGCTACTTAAAAAAAAACCCATAAATATATTATTATCGAATTTTATAAGGCTAATCGTTTGAGAATAATTGAATTATTCTGTGATGGGGAGAACTGTTGACAATGAATTGCATACAACAAATCAAAACATATATATTTTATATATATTTATATATATATATTTATTTATTTATATTTTTTCAACAATATTTACTTCATAAATTATAAACATTTTCAGAGAAAATATATTTCTAAAGATATTACCATTTAACTGTATTTATGATTTTATAGGCGAATATATTAGTGGGCAAATTAACCCCATTATATCCTGCTAATGGACCTACTTAATGGGTACTCTTTGCACTATAACCACTACAGCTTATTGTAAAGATTATTGCATGAACCAGCTTTAAATGCCGCACTCCCATATTTGCAAATCATTTTGGACTCTTTGACAAAAGCAAGGTCTCTCCAGGAATCCATAAAAAGGTTCTAACAGAGTGTGACGGTAGTCACCATCGCCTGGAGTTTCATAACGACATTTCATGTAGGACCCTGGACTATTCCTATGTTTAAGTCACCCTGTATCCATTGTGGGTGCAGGGTGTGTGTGTGTAATGTGGTTGTTTGGGGTTAAATGTTAGTGTGTTCTCCTGTCTTGCTAATGGTTGCAATCAACTAGGTAGATTTGGCTGTGGAGCCTGTACAGTGCCACCTGTTGGTTGCAAAGATCTAGCAACCGCTGTATGCACTACCTGAATAGCAAGTATTGATCATTTGCATATTCGGGTAGATTTGCATATTGCTAATTCTGCAGGCAGGAGAGACATGTTCTGTTAATTAATATCTTCCCCATCCTTGTATAAATATGTTATTATGCTATTGTAATTTCCTGTATATTTTGTGACATGTTTTGGTTATTTTAATTTTATTATGTTTGCCACAGCAATGTTTATGTAATGAAAGTAGGGGCTAGTCCCAAGTAAAATCAAATATTTTATGTTAATTCCATTTGGGACGGTGTCCTGTGTGGATTTTTAGGGATCCCAGCCACAGAGTTATACCTATTGGTTGACTGCATGTTCCCTCTAGTCCTGGGATAAATCAAGAGAACTAGGCCTGAGAGCCGCAAGTGCATTTGTAAAGGAAATAGAAATCACATTGCAGGCAGAGGTAGATCCCTGCCTGGAAGAAGAGCTGCACTGAAATAGGTAGAGGGGATGATACCTGCCTGGTCGGGTGGAAAAGCTCCAGAAGGACCCCAGTTAAGCTATGGCAACTGGGGCAGAAGAGCGGCAGTTATCCCCTATGGCCGCATGCAACCCACAATGAACGTTTGTGCAGCCCAGCCAATCATGGACGCCGTTCGAGGGGGCGCAAAAATAATTTTTTGAGTCTGTCTCGGTCTGCGCTCCCTGCGCCCCCTGCAACATGTAGCTCCATTAGAGAACTGCACACACTGTACACTGCGTAGGAGCGCCGGGTGTCACATGACTACTCTGCGCTCAGCTGTCAGCGTGTCACCGGAGAGTGAGAGGCCCTCCATCCTCTGCTATGTCAGGTAAAACAGGGATGCCATCTAGCTATAGGGCAGAGCAGAGACAGTGCTATCTTCACTTTGGGCGCACGCTCTATGAAGGAACAGCTGCCTGAAAATAGGGAAGAAGAGAGGGAGTATAAATGAAAGGGGTAGGAAGGGAGACATGGAAGTTGGAGATATGAATTGAAAGGGGGGAAGGATATATGAATGGAAGGGGGAGGGAGATATGGATGGAATGGGCAGGAAGGGAGACATGGGGGGAGAGATATGAATGGAAGAGAGGAGAAAGAGACATGGATGGAAGAGGGGAGGGAAATATGGATGGGAGGTGAGAGAGACATGGACGGGGAGGGAAATATAGGGGAGAGACATGGATTTAAGGGAAAGAAATATGGATGAGAGGGGAGAGAGACATGGACAGGGAGGGAAATATGGGGGAGAGGCATGGATGGAAGGGGAAAGAAATTTGGATGGGATGGGAGAGAAACATGGAAGAGGAAGGGAAATATGGGGGAGAGACATTGATGGAAGGGGAGAGAGAGACATGGATGGAAGGGGGGGTAGAAGTGAGTGGAGTGATCAGCCACACCTTACTCCGGCTGGAGATTGCAGAGGGACTAGGAAGCAAGTGAAGTGGACTGAGACTGCAGTTTGCAGAGAACTGAGGGAGCAAGTGGAGTGGACACTCCAGACAGTGGCATTATTACTGAGAGAGTAAGTTAAATAACTCAAAGTGAAGCTTTCGAGTAAATTATTTATGTGTACCCAGGGTTGCATATTGTTTGCATGAGAATGATACAAGTAATTTTAGTTTGTGTTTGTCTAGGTCGAACATTTTATCATATATGAGCCACAGGGGGCACAAACTAACAGTTTGACAAATGTACTTGTTGGAAAGGGGAGATAGGCCTATCATTGGCAAAATGGTAACTTGATGACCCCTGGCACCGTACCCACTTGTTGCGTGGGTAAATCATTTCTGCCATAAGATCAGTTCTTAAATATCGAGCTGCCATCCCATAGTATAGGGCATTAGCATTGGATAGTTCATCAAAACTAAAGAAAATCTTGGGGAGACAGCCTTTCATAATAATCCTAGCCCCACAAAATTAAAAATATATCACGAGTGAGTAAATCTGTAAAAAAAACTTTCATCTTATGCTTTTCATATTTTAAACAGCGAGGCATATCTGCAAAAGCTACACCAGATTTTTGGGGGAATCCCCCTCCTCTCTCCCCCAGCCCCCTTTCCTACGGTTCATGGCCTCACCATAAGCAACTGTTAGCAGATTTCCCTTGTTTGTTTCAAAATAACAGTCATTGATGCTTGTATTATTTAACTAATTGAATATCCAAAACAGCATAGGTTGTTTTAAAAAAAAAAAAAGTTGGTTTCAACAGCACATACCGACTTGTGACACAGGGAAGCAAAAAGCATAATTTTAATTGAATTATTATTGTTTATTTGTAAAATGCTTTCAGCAGGGGATATACTTTGGAATGTCCCTTGCTAAATAATATCTGTACACTGTATCCAGTGCTTTCCTTTCTATTATTATTATTCTATTTTTGACATTACTTTCGCATTTGATCATATGATATCATATCAATACATAAATAAATAAATCATGGCTTCATACAAATGTGTACAACTACCAGCTGACTTTAACTGTGGAGGACATCACATACTGTAACTGTGACCCAATGTGTTCACTATGTGTTCAACAAACACTTGTGTTAACTAGGATTTTAATTAGGACTGTCAGATCCTCCTTAATCCGAATATGTTCTTATTATAGCATAATCCTTTCGATCTGGGCTGTGAAGGTTTATAATTACTTAAGTCTATGGAAATGATACACTGTTTGGAATCTTCTTGCATGTGGTCACAAAGACAACCAGAAATGTAAACAAAACAAACAGTATCATATGCCACGGTGAGAAGACTCTGCTAAGTAATTAGAATTAGCAAGAAATGTTCTGTATATTTACAGGTTTTCATATGGTGATTGCTTGACATCTTTTTTTTAAATTTGGCTTTTTATTTTTATTTTTTTTGCTTTCTATTTTATTTACTTTTAGGCCTTGATTGAAACTTTCCAAATTATTTATCTACAGAACTCTATAGAAATCAAGGCCTTACACTTTGATTTAATATTTTTTGATACATTTTTCAAATGATTTAATATTCTTGGATAAACTTTTAAAATTATTATTTTCAA